CGGCCGACGGGCCATAATTTCTGTTTGTCAATGATGACTTTAATTTCTTTTTGGTCGCCGGACCTTATTTTACTTTCACCATTTTATTTGAGTTGGTCTTATGATCTGAGTTTTCGTTCGGTCTTATGACCTTTTATTTATGTTTGGTCCTTACAGACCTGTTATTATTTTCTACACATATAGGCCCAGGTCACTAGGACCTCGCACCAGTCACGTTAATCTCAGTTTGGTCATCAGAACCTTAATTTCTGTTGCTGTCATGCTGAAAATTGCTGACTTTAATTTATGTTTGGTCGCCGGACCTTTGCTTTTTCTTTTGCATTATATTAAATTGGCCTTCTGACCTTAATTTATGTTTGGTCTTATGATCGTTCATTTCCATTGGTTCTCGTTGACCTTTTATTTTGTCCAACATATAGACATCCATGGCCTCCAGAATCATGGCCCTCCCCAGCCTCCCCTCTGCCATATGACCCTTATCCTTTGCCACAGCCATTTCACCCCTGGCTCCATTTCGGTGGTTAGACCTCATCAAGCCTCCCACTGCCACCTTCCCTTTCAATGCTTATGTCACATCTCTCGTTTATTAGATAGCAGCTCCCCATTTGTCGTTCCAGTCTCATCCCGACCATACATTCTCTTTAAGGTTAAATTACCCCATTCAGGAATAATGCAGGCTATCCAATCTGCTCATTCACATTTCACTGCCTCCTCGTTTCCGTTTGTTCATTTTTTTTTGCAATACATTCCCTCCTAATTTTTCTTTGCTGTTTCGTTAGAAGCCTGTTGCCTCCTGGTAAGGTAAGGATTGTCTCACGTCAAATGGTTTGTCATCCCTCTCACTCTTGACATTGTTTTGAGGGGGTTCCCTAATTGGCTACGGATCCATCACCCTCCTTATAGCGTACCATCTCGAAGGGGTCTAATCGCCAAAGACTTTAAATCTTTTCTCTCCTCTGCCGCTTTCAGCTGTCATTCTAGGACCCCCCTCGCCGCCCCTTCGCTGCCCCTCCTCCACCCCGTTCACCTCCAGCCGTCATAGCCGAGGTCAAAGACAAGCCTGAAGACTCATACCTCTACTCATCCGGATCATCAGCACCCATCCATCTAATCCTCATCTCTTCTTCACTTCTTCTACCACCACCAGCGTCTAGACCGCGGGGGGGTTCCCTAATTGGCTACGGATCCATCACCCTCCTTATAGCGCACCATCTCGAAGGGGTCTAATTGCCAAAGACTTTTCACATTGTCACATTTTCATTCTCATGTGCACTTGTCATTAAAAATTTCTTTTCCAAAACTAAAAACGAGTCTCTCCTGATTGAAATAAGATTTGTGAGTTATATGAAAAACATAATAATAAGGTGATTTTGGTTTGTGGGGATTTATTACTGATTTGCTGATATCTACTGAACATAATAACTGCAGATTTTGTAATTACTATGTTCAGATTGACTTTTTATCCATTATTTGTAAATCCTAGCTAAATAACTAAGAATAGTGCAACACTGATGAACAATATCTGATGGGAAATGAAAAGTGGACTATTGACTGATGTAAGTGATCATTTGCCTGTTTATGTTGTTTTAGAAATGAACAATAACTTAACATTAAAGGGATAGTTCAGGTTTTTGGACATGAAGTTGTGTGAAACGCTGACCGTCTGTAGCTCTGATGTGACGGTGTCACTACTGTCAACGAGCCTCCTGCTCTGAGAAATAGCCCGTAGCTTACCAGAGAAAAAGTAGTTCTAAAGATATAAGGGGGACACGTAACCAAAAGGTTTTAAGCTACAAAAAAGTATGCATGTGTTTTGTTAGACTATTTCAATAATTTTAAAACCAGTATCACTCCGCCGTGCAGGCCCGCAAGACAGCCCGCGAACAGAAATCAATCAGACGGTTCATCACCACGCCGTGCAGGTGCGCAGGATAGCAATGGCTAACGAAAACTTCATCGGCTGTTTCCAACAGAGAACCAGTAGGCTATTATTAGTGAGGAAAAAGATGTACTAGCCCTATATATACCTACTACTACAGCGCGAACACCAGCTCAGGCTCACAACACACCCTCGTCAGCTGCTGTAGGTAGAGGAATACCAAAATGGTGCTGTCGGACTCAAGGCTCGTCCTACTCTCCAGTGTACTATGTGTGAGCTCAGTCCTGCCTGTTCTTTAATGAAGCAATAGGAGAAGATATTCTGTCTCAGTTAATGTAGTTTATTAAGCAGTAAAGGAATAAAATTACAGAGCTCTGGGTCTCAACTTCTTTCCTGACAAGCAACAAAACGTGCCAGTTCATGAAGTCTGACCAACTATCTCTTCCTGACCCAGTGTATTTAAGCGTCACGAGTCATTGTGCACGTGAGGCGTTGTCCTCTTCTCACTGGCAGTTCCACTTCCTCCTTCGCCACACCACGCCCCTGCCTCGTGTTAATCTGACTCCTTCCCGCTGACAGTGGGGGCGTGGTTCCTGTTTTGAAAGACAAGAGAACAACACAACTCCCTACACGTGCTGTACCTTACTATCTGTACATCACTTTCTATTCTTTTTACCATATATGAAACTAATTATCTAAGCATTGCGGTATGTGCTCCTCAGACTTCATGTCTCTTCCTCTCCTGTACTTCTCCACTTCTGCAAAGCAAACACATTCAGATCAGCTGAAATCATCTCAGTATTCTCATTGTTCACACATCTAAAACTTATATAGTGAAACACAACTTATAGTAAAACACATAACATCATTCTATTCCCAACAGTCCCCCTTTTGGCCTCATAGGACTGAGGCCACTTTTTTTAGTCTCAATGTATCCAGGTCCCCCTTTTTAGGTCTTTTGATTACTGCACTTTTTGTTTCTTTTGAAACAAAAAGTTATCACTCCCCCTTTTGGTCTCATACACATGAGACCACTCACACCTTGTCTTCTCCTGAGTCTGAGTCCGAATCTGAATCAGTAGGCGGCTCTCCTAACAGGGTGGCCGTCTCCATTTGAGTCATTTGATATGGTGGGGGCTGTGGATGTTTTCTCTCCACAGCTGTCACTATGATTCTTTCACAGAGTGACCGGATACATGGGATACAACAACAACCACATAATGCTAACACCGCGAGCATTCCCACCAGAGACAAGAATACCGATACCACTAAATCTTTCCACTTACCGAACCACTTCTCGAAGATACCACCCAGGGGTTTATCAATGCCTGAGTGTTCATGCATTTCCTCAGAGAGCGTGCGCAGCCCTTCTAGCGCCTTAGTTACTGACCCGTCCGGAGCTGTGTTGTTTGGGATGAAGGTGCAGCAGAGGCCCTGGAACATAGAGCAGACACCCCCTTTCTCCGCCAAAAGCATGTCTAACGCAATTCGGTTCTGTACTGTCATCAGGGAGGTGGCTGCCAGTTGTTCAGAGAGTCCCCCAACTGCGTCCCTAGTGCTGTTGGCCAGTCTAAGAACATTGTAATGCACATAATTAATTCTGTCCACATTTTTGTTAGGGGTGATGGGAAACAGTGCAGCTAGTATGGGTATGTTTTCAAAACCAGCGGCCACTTGGTCAGCCAATTTGTACTGGTCTGGGACCCCACGAGGAACACCTATGGCGTCCATGTACGTGGTTGTTCCCTGGCTCATATCAAATGCATTTCTTTTCTGTCTACCTGGGTTGGTCTGGGTATCCCTCATCCCTAACAGGACCAGGGGTACAGCTAGTCGGACCAGTGCACACGTACCAACCCAGGAGGATGGCAGGGACAAGTGGAGGGTCTTATCTCCACAGTACCAGAACAGGTCCCCTCTAGCCTGAACCATGCTGCTGGCGTTCTGCCACGTACTCACATTCAGTGTTCTCTGGCACCAGTCAGCTTGCATCTGTCCCATATCAGTTACCACCCCGGTGGAGAGGTTCCTATGGAAACAAGTGTAGTTGGCGATTCTGGGACTAAACGTTGGTGGGATGGTGTGATTCTTTATGGGTGGAAACAGAGAACTCAGAGTGGTACAATTAGCAGGATCAGGATACATGGTCATATTTATCATACAGTTAAAACCAATAGGGTCTGTGTCAGGATACAAAGGGGCTGGAGTGGTGAACAGTGTAGGTCTAGCGGATGAGCATACGATGCAATTTGACATGTTCATGGATTCTGCTGTCGCCGCCACCCAGTCTAACCATAGGTTTCTGTCTCCATAGCCTGTGGCCAATCTGACTACGTCACTGCGGGTCAATTTAGAGTAGTCAATGTTTATCACGCCTGTGTTCTGTTGGGGTTCAGGTTTCGGTGTGCCGTCGGTAGCCGCCGGCGCGGTCTTGTTTTGGGGAGGAGGATTCAACAGTGTTAATTTAATCAGTCCCATAGTGTCTGTACCTGGGTGGTCTACTCCTAGGATGAAATAAGCTGTCCTGTTTGTTGTGCTACAGGGACCGTGTGGGAGAGGGTTCTGTGTCAGGTTGTACACACTGAGTAATATTGGGTTCTGCTTATGTGAGCCTTGGAGTGGTTGGTACTGTTGTCTTTGCAATTTCACCCTGTCCCTGATACACAGTTTTCCTTGCTCACATGGCCTGGGTGTCCAAGTCACACCAGTCCACGTGACCACGAAATTCCTCCAATTTGGATCCTTTCCTTTACAGTCTATTACGGAACACAAGTCAAACTGGAACCCTGTACTTTGCCCCATGATGTATGTCAATTCTGCTCCACCATACTTAGCTACGCAGGAGTCTGACGTTCCACTCCCTGGTGCGTTTCTCCTGGTTCGGTTTCGTGGTGGTTCTACGGCTTTGTCTCTGAGGGAAGACTCATAATACAACAGAGGTAAAACAATAACACAGGTTAACACAATAACTCCCAACACACACCACTTATGGTGGCGTGGTTCTAGTCCCAACAATTTCATTTCTTTATTTTGTGTTGCAAAAACGTAAATATAAACGTGTAAAATATAAGAGTAAATATGGAGTTTAAATGTGCTGCAAGCGAGTCTTTCTTGTATCCTGGCTTTATATTACTCAAACGGACTCTGGGCAAAGTGTTGCTTCGAAGGAGCTTCAAACCTTCACATTGATCACAGGATATCTCTTCCGCACTTATGCTAAGCTAAATGAATAAATGTCTGTGTGAGTAAGCTGTGTGTGTGTTTTTTTTTTTAATCTTTAGTGTCTCTTATGTCCTCCAGTGTTCGGGCAGGTGTCTCTGCCACTGCACACTGACTCCAGTGATACCATGTGTCACCTTTTCCCTGTAGTTTGACGGCGTGGGACGTCCGTTCCACGACTTTGTAGGGACCAGTCCACCTTGGCTCTGACCACTTTCGTTTGATCACCTTGAGCAGGACCCACTCTGATGTTGGGGGTTCTTTCACTTCTGCTCCCTCCTGAGCTGTGGTCACCTGTTTGGAGAAAGCTGACACCAATGCTGTTAGTTGGTCATAATACGGTTTGTATTGCATAGGGCTTTCTATTTCTTCTGTAGTTTGGATCCCAGCTCCCGGTCCCGGGAACTGGTGTCCTGTTTTTAGTTCATATGGCGTGAACCCCGTCAATGAGTTCACTGAACTCCTGATTGACATTAGAGCTAGGGGTAGAGCATCTACCCAGCTCATTTTAGTCTGAGCACAGATTTTGCCTATTTTTCCCTTAATAGACTGGTTCATCCTTTCCACCTTGCCCTGTGACTGAGGATGATAGACTGTGCCAAATGTGTGTTTTAGCCCCAATGCCTTCTCTACCTGCTGTAGGTCTTTGTTTTTAAAGTGAGTCCCGTTATCAGATCTGATTCGTTTGGGGAACCCGTGCCTGGGGATATATTGATTTATCAGAAATTTGATTACTGTCTTTGCATCCTCTGATTTGGCAGGTATGGCTTCTGGCCAGCCGGTGTATGCATCCACCGCCACCAGAAGGTACCTGTGTCCTCCCACTCTTTCTATCATGTCTGTATAGTCAATGATGACCTCTTGACCTGGGAGTTTAGGGAGAGGAAATTTCCCCTGGTGTGGTTTCACTGTGGGTCTGACATTATATTCTGTACATATTTTACATTCTCTGATGTGATTCTCAATCATGGCTGGCAGAAAAGGGTGCCACCAATGAGTGAGACCTCGCACCATTTGCATCTTTCCACAATGAGTCATGCCGTGAGCCTCCTGGAGGACTGATCTCATCAGCCCTGGGGGTAACACTGGTCTTCCGTCCGGAGACCTCCACACACCCTCTGTTCTCACTGCTCCTCTCTCTTTCCAGACTGTAAGCTCCTGTGGAGAAGCTTTCTGCTGCTCTGCTATTAACATATTTACATCACATGGTGGCAGGAGATCATGTACTGTTTTCTCTGTTTGTAGCATGATATACTGTAGACTATATCCTGCCTTTCTCTTGGCTGCCATGTCTGCAGCCTCATTTCCCCTAGCAATAGCTGACCCTGCTTTATCATGGCCCTTACACTTAATGACTGCTACCTATGCTGGCTTCATCACTGCCTCCTGTAGCCTCTTCATATCTTTTTCATGTTTAATGGAGTTTCTGCTGCTGTTAAAAAACCAGATCTGATCCACTCTGTCATTTCCACATGGATTGCTCCTACAACATATGCAGAGTCTGTGAAGATGTTCACTCTCTTCCCTTCTGACCATTCTAGAGCTGCAATCAATGCCTGGAGCTCAGCCAACTGCGAGGACTCTTTCCCTGTCACCCTTTCCGTGAGGACTTCCTCAAACCCTGTTTCTGTCTGTCTCACCACTGCATATGCTGCTTTCAGTCCCTCAGTTGGATGCCTGAAACAGCATCCGTCTGTGAACAGTGTTTCCTCTGTGTTAGTCAGGGGCTTCGCCTGCAAATCTTCTCTCACCCTGGTGTCTTTCTGCACCTTTTCCTCACATCTGTGTGGTTCGCCCTCTCCCATGTTATCTGCCATGTTTACACCTTCATGTGTGAATGTTATGTGTGGTGCATTTAAGATCTTTTCCAGCCTCGTCCGTCTGACTGATGTCATGGTAAATGCCGCTGAGTTTACATATGCCACTATGCTGTATGTTGTTAGTACAGTCAGTGCGTGTCCCATCACTATGTGTGCTATTTTCTGCAAAATTTTTGCCACTCCTGCTGCATGTCGTGTGCACAGTGGGTGTCTATCCTCAGTTGGGTCTAAGGATATGCTTACATACATCAGCACCTGTCTGCTTCCCCCTTTTTTCTGAAAAAGCACACCAGAGGTGGTGTGTGCCTTTTCAGAAACGTCAAGAAAAAACGGTAAAATGTCGCGAAGGGGCGGCGCGAGAGGTAGGCAGAAAAAGGCGTTAGCAAGGGCTATACAGGAAAACCACTTATGTTCTGGCGACAGGCTAGACATGGCGGTGTATGGGTTTGGCACTGGTACTGTGGGAGTGGAGATTACTGCATTAATGTGTCTGAGATCATGCGCCATGCGATATTTGCCTGTATTCTGTTTCTCTACAGGAAGAATGGATGTGTTCCAGCTGGAGTTTGAGGCTTCCAACACTCCAGCCTGTAACAGACCCTCTATAGTATCTGCAATACCAGCCTCAGCCGCTGGCTTGTGAAGATATTGATTCTGCCAAATCGGTGTCCAATCATTTAAATCAAATGTAATGGGGGTGACCTGTGCACAGTAGCCCACATCGGTGGGCCCAGAAGACCAGAGAGAGTCAGGAAGTGTGTGTAACATGCGTTCTGCGTCTGGATGGTCAGTCTTTTCCCTACCATGAAACCTCTCTATCTGTCGGTGTTCCAGGATCGCCTTGTCTGTAGCTCCCTGCCTGATGCGATATGCTTTCTCAGAGGGTGAGAAATCCACCTGAGGAATGTGGGTGCGGATCCAATCAGTGAGTTGCATTAACCTCTTACACATAGGGCCCAAGTCTTTGGCCTGATGTTTTGCATGGATTGCCAGAGATATGTGAGGGGAGGCTTCTTCCTCCCCCTCATACCACTGTTGCTGTTCTGAATCGAGGTCAACAGCTGCAGCCACTCCCTCATTACCCACCAGTATACAGGACGATTGTATATCCCACCTGTGACCTTCAATTTCATTATAAAAGGCCTGCTGATACATTTCATCTCCTTTTCTATCATAATAGAGTGTTACATGGAAGGGATCAGGAGGAGGTGTGTAGGGATTTAATGACTGAACCCAAGGGCGCCACGACTGATAGAGAGCGCAAATCCCAGGAGTTGCTGTGGTGTTTGGCTCGAGGAGGCCCCAGTAGATATCTGCCCACTGTCCTTCAGCTGTGGGGGATGTGTCTGCAGATAACAACATTTGTGAAGATGAATGCACAGTTGACAATGAGCAGTTCACAGTGTAGCCGTTTGGGAATGTCACTATCAGTCCGTCCGGGCTGCACAGGATGGAGGCTCCACACTTTAATAACACATCTCTGCCCAAAAGGTTAACAGGGCATGCCATTGAGGAAACAAATGTGTGTGGAAATGTCTGATCTGCTTGGAGTATGGTAGTGGTGAGTGGTTTTGTGAGTGGCAGATTTTCTGATTGACCCGAGAACCCAGTTAATTCAACCGCTGATGATGACATGTGGGTAGCAGACACAGGGAGGTTTAATGTGGAATACCGTGCGACAGTGGCATTGGGTGCTTGATGCACATAGTCTTGATAACCTCCCCTGGGCGGTCCCTGATACCCGTCCCTGGGGGGTCTGTTTCCGCCACCCCTGGGAGGTCTGAGGTGCCTGCCTCGCATCCGGTGCATCCTGTCCTCCAACCACTCGGGGTCAGCCTTACATGAGCACGTCTGGTGTGGACAGCGTTCCTGCCAATGAGACGGGTCTCCACAATGGAAGCACCCCCCATCGCCCTGACCCCCTCTTGGGCCGCCACGATTTCCCCCCCTGCCTCTGAATCTTCCTGTACCACCTCGGGAGCCGCTCCAATGGGGAGGGCGAGGGTCTACCCACTCAGGGGTAGGAAAAAGATCTGGGGTAACTGTGGGTGATGGCTGAGGCTGCTGAACCATTTGATTGGTTGATTTTTTTTGTCTTTTTTCGCATAGTTCGTTTTATGACGTGCATCCTCCAATGGAAAGTTTGAGCAGCTGAACCTGTGCTGAGTCTGTGTTTTCCTTATCTTCCGCCTGTTTAGCTCTGTGTTTTTTCATGTGGTGTGTGAGGTGTTTCTCCCACTGTTCAGTGGAACAGCCAGGAAGGTCAGGGTTGTTCTCTAAGGATTCTTTTACCTTTGTGGGCAGTCCCTCTAACACGGCCTTTCTGAACAGGGTGGTTTGTAGGTCACAAGACCCTGGGTGTACTCCAGCCACATCTACCCATGTGTTCTTACATCTGCTAAGGAATGTTGCGGCGTTTTCGTCAGGTTCGATGTGAAACGTGAGCGTGTGCATGGCGCCAGACGGAATGGGAAACTGTTGTCGCATGGCCCGACCGATAGCAGTGGCATGGTGGGCGAATGGCTCTTTATCTGTTAAGTTAACTGTTTTTGCCAACGTCTCAAGTGCAGTTAAATCCCAGCTGGAAAGCTGTTGTCCCAATAGCGCTCTCCAGTACCCTAATGCTAATTTGTGACCCATGGTTTGTTTACAGAAAAGCTCCATCCAGGGGCCTCCTCCCTCTAAGGGCGGGGGCATCTTATCCAGGATGCAGTGCATATCTGTAAAAGAGAAGGGTTGGTATACCTCTCCTCCTCCTGGGATCTTTTCCAGGAGTGGCATGGCAAATGTTTTTGGCTTGTTCTTATTTTGTTGGAGATTATAAGGAGAACATGTACAACCTGAACGTGAACCATTTTGGTTGACTTCATTATTCCTGTTAGTCTTACAGCCCTCATATCATAGTCGACCTCAGATTCTGACCCTGACCATCCTTGACTTTCCTCATCCTCCATCTCCTCTATCTCAGAACACTCCTCTGGTTCTTCTATCCTTTCCTCATTTCTCCTTTCTCTGTTACTTCTATATGACCTCTCTCTTTGTGCCCTCAACTGAAACACTACCTCTGCTAGTGGCCTCGGCTCCTCCTCCATTGCTTCCACTTTAGGGGTGCTGGAGGAAAGAGGGCTCTGTTTCATGCTTCTCTTGCTGTCTCTGTTCTCTATGCTGCCCACATCATCCTGCATGTCCCTACTCCTGTCTACGGATCTCAGAGTCTCCTGATGCACATTCTGCGCACCCGCCACAATACTCATCACGTCCTGTCTCATTGCCTCCACCTGCACTATTCCCTGTCTTATTTCATTCATCACTTCCTCTTTGGCCGTCACATACTCTTCTTCCCCTATCACATCTGTATTAAACACACTGTCTTTAATCATCAACATTGGCATTTGCATATTCTTCCCTGAATATGGTGGGGGAATTGCAGCTGTGGGTGTTTGGGGTAGCTCAGGATACAACCTATTAGAGGTGGGCTCTGGTGGTGGTGAGGCTGGATCCGGTGCAGGAGCAGACAGAGGTTGCTTATCTTTGTTTTGTTTTTTGTGACTTTTGTCTGTGTTTTTCCAATAGGCCATGGCTGTAACTGCCATCTGATGGAGCAGAGCTTGTTTGCACTCCATCATTTTTTTCTGATTTTTCCATTTTCTCTTTATAAATTTAGGTTCATTCTCCTTTTTAGCGTGTTCTTCCAAATCATTTCGTGCTTTTACTTCTGCAGCCTGCAATTTCTTTGTGACGTTTCCCGCCTCATCATCCCCAGGCAACTCACCTTTTCCCTTATTTAAAATACTGTTTTATTTACACTCCCAATATCAGGGTGGTTCTGCGGACCACTGAATAGATGTCTCAACATGAGCGATAGTATTCAGTGTTAGGGATCACATGGAAAATGCTCCCCTGCTCGCAGAACTCTGTAACCTCTTTTTTGTGTTGTAGCAATCTACACAAAGGTCTTTCAACCTCAGACAACTCGTGTTGGGTCCTCCCCGAGCTTATCAACCTCAGGACACTCGTCTTTTTCTTTTTTAGAGATTAGATGGAAAACCTAGTCTCAGGGCTTTTCACCTGACTATGTTTCGTATTTAGGAGTCAAATTTATGATTTACTCCAGGGCTTTACACCCGACTATGCTCCAGGGCCTTGCACCCTTTCCTGTCAAGGTGTTGACTATGTTTCGTATTTAGGAGTCAAATTTATGATTTGCTCCAGGGCCTTTCACCCTTTTCCCCCGGGGCATGTCACTTTTGTGTTTTGTGGTAATTTTATTCCTTTACATTTTAGACTAGGAGACTTTAGTACAATGACAACACAAGTTTTAGCGTTTCCAATTGCAGAACTTCGATAAAACAGGCGTCTGCTTACCTTCTTTTTAGGCCGCGGCAAGTGTCACGATACTGCTGTCCTCCGCTGTTGAATGTCTTTTGTCCCGTCACTCCTCCGTCTCCATCATGTCGGGGTCACCAATTTGTCGG